ATTGACGAGCGCTCTGCTGACAAACTATTAGGACAAAGTATCATCAACCTTATAAAGATACATTCAAATTAGAGTTGCAACTATCTGTCTACTTTTTTCTGCACAGTGAGGAAAAGCATTTTTGCATGAAAACAAAGTAAATCAATCTGCTATACAGAGGCCACGTTAGTAAGTAATTAGAGAGTAAATCAGATATAATGGAAATTAAAGGTACTTTCAACTTCGTGGAATAAAGTAAACATAAATTTGATGCTCTGATTCAAACTTTTCTTTACATGACTACCTACGATTACGGCGTAATCAAGGCTGCTCCTCCGTTTGGTGTAATCTTCACCATTTTTTCTGTTTTACAAAGATTTCTTTGTTGTGTTTCTTCGTTCTCATGTTCTTAGCTTTGACAAACTACTTTTTTTAAACCTTTGATAGCGATTCAGTAGAAGACACATTCGCTCACATTGTACTTTAGTCTATTTTATCACTGGTTAGTTCCTTCAAAGAGCTTCAGTTTCTTTCAATTTACCTTTAGTCCAGATCAGGCATGTAACCATCCCAAGCTAGAGCTCGCTGATCGGCAGCGAACATGTTCAGTAGCGAACCGTTCGGTAACAAACCGTTCGGTGCCGATCAGTGATTCCTAGTTTGGGATTGTTTCATGTCTATTGAAAACCATCGTATTTTCTTTTGTCCCAATAAGAATATAAGCAGATAAGTGCATCGTCAAGATTATGTGGTTTGCTGGCATTTGAATTATATTCCCTTTTCAATGTAAGTCCAACAAGCCAATTCGATAATAGTGACATTGATCTTTCAACTGGATTATAACGACTATTACCAGGTGTATAACTATTTAATATTAATGCATGGGAATTTAATTTTTTCCATAATTGCCCATAATTATAAACATTACATGGGCTTTTTCCTGACCAGTCTGTAGGGATGTTACGAACCCGAACCTACGTTCGAAGTTCGGCTTCGATCAACACTAAAACTAAGATGTGTTTCGACAGTTGCATAAAACCAGCTAAAACTTGACCTATTCTTTATACTAAAATAGAAACGTTGTGAAAAATTGTCTTATAATTCTTTCCTGGACATTGAACTTCACATCTACGTCATGCAAACTTTATTAATAAAGTATTTTCTCTGGTACCATAAAAAGTTTCCGGGACCGGGACGGCAGTGAAAAACCTTGGTCCCGCTCATGTCTAGTCCAGTTTGAGAATTTTTTCTCCGCCCTTTTAAACACAAATGTACTGTTTTTTCAACAATTGTGACACATCTTGTGTACACGTGTTCTTAACACATACATATCAGAACAAAAGAAATCTATGTTATTCACGCTTTTGTTTGTAGCAAAAACTGTTTTTCGAGTAAAAGTGCGAAAGTGAAAGGAAAACGGTAATATGTGCAAAGCTCGTGTTTTGGAGAGTATATAAAAGTTATTTGATTAACTACTTTGGTTTGTTAAATATTTGATGTCGAACTTGAATTCGACCTCGAAGGTTCGAACATGTTCGAAGTCCAACTCGAACTCGAACATCGAACTTTGCTTGAATCCGAACTTCGAACGTTCGGGTTCGTAACATCCCTAGCTTCAATAGTTCCCAATGTTCTCATAGTTCTTATAATTCCTATAGTCCCTATAATTAGCAACTATGAAATTATAGGAACTATAGAAACATTGGGAACTACAGGAACTGCTATTATTATCGCTTCTTTCAAGCACTTGGATTGTTAACATTCATTAGTACTGTGAATACTATTTCCGAGAAGAAGGCTGATCAACAAATGAGAGAGAAGACAGTTATAGCACTTGTCACTCTGTCACTTCGCCCACTCCGCAGTGACGGACTGCACCGGAGTGGAAGTTCACCCGCGGAGTAGGGAGTATGGAGTACGGTGTTTCCCCCTTGAGGAGACCGCTATCGGTTTTTTCATTTCTTAAGTGCTTTTGCGTTATACTTTTAACATAGGTACAAAACTCGTTGATTTTTGGGCATATGATTGGGCATTGCCCGTACTCTGTGAGCTTCTACCAATTTGTCTCGCATAAGATTTATTGAGTTTGGTAGACGTTCTAAGGCTGTGAGCGGTGCTGCGGGTAGGGTGAGGGTGACGAGTTCATTTTTTATTATAAAAAGTAAGAAAAATTGAAGAAAGATGACCCGTAGACCCAACTCTAAGAACTCCCACGTATACAACAATAGGGTGCCCCCTCAAGTCCGTAATCTTGTCATACAATTGACCGAATATGAACGATACCTGCTGAATAAAAGACCCAAATATGTACCCGCAGCACCGCACACAGCCTTAGAACGTCTACCAAACTCAATAAATCTTATGCGAGAGAAATTGGTAGAAGCTCACAGAGTATGGGCAATGGGTAGCATCATATGCTCAAAAATCAACGAGTTTTGTACCTGTGTTAAAAGTACAACGCCAAATCAGTTAAGAAATGAAAAACCGATAGCGGTTTCCTTGAGGGTGGGGGTGAATGTTGAAAACATTTTGCTACGTCGGGTATATGGTCAAACCATGAAAAAACGATTACGATGAACTGGAGTGTTAGGCTTTTCGACAGAATGGACATTATTCTCAAGCGCTTGTACATAGTTTTTTTTTGTTCATTGACTACACCAATTTGGTCATATATATGAGCAACAATGTTGTTTTTTGGCGAGCCAGAAAATGCTTGAATCTCGAGCGCGGTATCCAAGTGGGATAGTGCTTCGTCGTCGTTCTTTAACTTGATATAAATGTGTCCGAGGTTACAATAGATTTGAACCAAGTTGGCATTTTTTTTCGGTAGTGTTTTGAGCTTGACAGCAAGATATTTCTTGAAATATTCTAATGCTTTGTGAAAATCACTCAGTTCATCATACATCATCCAATAGAGTTGTATGTGGGTGATAATTGGGGATGGTTTGGAGGCAGCTATCCAAGAAAAAATTCTAGAGATTTATGTTTGCAATTATGAGCTTCTTCGAAATCGTCTATTAGACTGTACACGAAGCCCATTTCGCCATAAATATAACTAACTTCCAGATGTTCTTCACGGTAAAGACCGGTTAATATACCGAGCGCACTGTTGTAATGTGGTAAAGCGTTCTCATACAAGCCCTTCTCTCTAAAACGAGCTCCAAGATGTTTATAGTCAACGGCAAGTCTTGCATGCTGAGAAAATCGTACACGATCGAACTGAAATGCATGTTCATGATAATCCATTGCTAGATCGAATTGAACTCTTTGTGACGCAATCATTCCCAATCCGATCATAGCTAAAGTCTTATTTGGATCAATGGACAGCTGCTTTTTAAATGAGAACATCCGCTTGATCGATTTGACCCATGTCGTTTAGTAGATTCCCGAGCATCACGAGATCAGGACCGTCGGTTAAAAGACTACTTCGCTTGTAATGATCAACTAGTTGGCTGAGTTCGGGATCTTTGTCACTGTACACGGACAAATGCGCTATCCAAATCTGCTTCTCGTTATCCAAGGTTACAGATTCGATTTTGGATATGACTCCAGCCATAATTAAAACTTCATCCTCATCGTTGAACTGGCTCAAATGGGAAATGTTCGAGTAAGGCTTTGTTTCCAGTTGAGTGTCAATGTTGATCCGAAATAACATCGGTTGAGCGTCAAACGAACACTGGGTAATGGTTGTAGTGAATGCTAAGGCAACAAGTTCACATTTTGACGTTGACAAAAATGAATTCATCGAGATAAACTGGTCAACATTTTCTTATATTCGATTGAGCTCATCGAGGATCAACAATTGGCCACGATGGACGTACAATGTACTATTCAGAATTTGAACGAAAGAGCTCCGTATCAGGCTAGCCCTCAGATAAGGATTGCAGTTTGATTAGTAGTAACAACATAGGTGACCATATCAGAAACTTGTCAGCTGTATGGAAGATATAGAAACTGATACTTGCCAGCAACCTACATTGATAGCGGCAGCCACATTATGTATGATGAATGGAAACATTTTGAAGATTATAGAATTTTTTCTGTTATGAGTCAGATTTGTTTGACTTTGGAAGTTCAAAATCAGCAGAATAATCAATTTTTCCGCAATTTATTGATGAACATTTAGACTGTCAATACTTAGTACATGGAAAGAAAGGAACAGACTGCAGTTTGTAGCTAATTAATCGTAAACAACAGTGAATTTTTCTGTTACTCAGATTCTACACAGGGAAATACCAATTTCTGACGCTGAAAATTATTAACATATCTCTGTCTGTCTGGAAAACTCTTGAAAAATAATCTTCTTCGACACATCTCCGATCCAAATGCTTATTTTATTTCTACAAAACAACATTTCACGAAACGACTTGGGTTATCCATTACAGAATACAGAGCTAAAATAGTTTTAATTTTTGATTATGATACTAAACTTTCTGTGATAGATCGGACGCTGTTTGTTTGTTCACATGCGCGAGAAACCAATTGTACAACTAAAGGTGATATCCATATTAATGGAGTTTAGTCTATAGTTTTGCTTCTCTTCGCCATTTAGTTCATTGTGCTAGAAACACCAATTACAACACCATTAATAATTGGATCGTGACCCAGAACGATGTGTTATGAGCCATTATCTGATAGAGTAAGTCATGCAACAAGTACAAGCCGAACTGACAGATATATTGATGTGTTTGTTAGACAAAGGATTTTATAGACTACAGTCTCGGTGTGTAACAAAGTAGATAACAGGACATGGGTTTTTGAAAAAACTTCAAAACAATAGGCTCGAAATGGAATTTTCTGATAACTCGACTGCTTTCAAGACTTTTCTTCTTTTTTCAATTCGATTCAGAAGAATGTATTACATAATATTTTCTTACGTGTTCGACATTACATTATGCTAATTAACTTTATACTTAGAACAGTGTTAGCATTGTTTTTGGGGGCCTTTAGAAGTAAACCTTCGTTGAAAGCGTTACCTACCGAAACAGACTGACTCTTTTTCCCATGTAGGGTAACAGGATGAACTCGTTTTCACTCATAGTGTTTTTATATTGTTTTCCTTTTAGAATGTTAAACTATTTTTGTGAGTCTGTGACAAAAATAGTTTAATATTCTTTTCTCAAGCACATTGAACAATACTCTATTTCAGAGTGTATAGGTATATTCAATTTTTCTTCCATTTCTATTGTAACTAAAAACACGTTTATGGATGTATAGAGTGGCATGGCTTCTCTAAGTGCCTAAAAGATAGTAGCATGAGAACCAGGCGATTTAACGATTTCGGGATAGGCCATGCTAAGGCCAATTTCGAATTTGCGAAAAAATCTAAGCTCCTTTACCGTTAATATTGGTAACAACTATAACTAATGAAAGAAACTATATTATTGTATTTTAAACTACTAACACATAAGTTGACAACTCGTGAAAATTACACTCAAATCTGTGTCATCCACAAAATTGACTGCCTCGTTTTCTCCAGATAATGGCTTTGAACACATGAACAGCAAGAAAATTACACGCTACTTGATGATTATAAGAGTTTAACTGGTATTTTATTTCATTTTAATCTCAACCGATGTTATTTACCTTGTCACGTAATTTGTACTTGTAGTGGTGATATTCATTGAGTCGTTAGCTAAAGATACAAACAAAATCCCAACAAAAGCTCTTCAGTCGCTCTCGGTGATTACTACAAAAGAGCGAAAAGAGATTGAGACAAGACATGGAAAAAAGCGCAAATTACTCACATGTCGGAGCTGTTGTTGTATTGTTAATACCTAGAAAAGATAGAAATATTGGGAGCCGGAAAGTTCAGCACGGGGAATTTTCAGCACGGAATATTCAGCACGGAAACTTCAGCACGGAAAATTTGAGCACAGGAATAATCAGCACGATGATTGTTCAGAACGGGAATGATGAGCACCAAGAAAAATCAGCGAAAATATTGGATGAGTAGTAATCATCTATTAATCAAACTAAAATTTGATCATAAAAACTAATCATCAATGTAAACTGCATCAGATTAGTAGTCTTCAATGAGTAGTAATAAATTTATTACTCTCTACTATAAATAATGACGGAACACGTTTGCTCTCTAACATTATCAATTCTTCAATATGGCAGCAATTTCTAATAACGGTACAACAAAGCAAAAACCACGTTTAGATCTCAACGGTTATTCATATATAATGGATCGATTAACTAATGAAAAAACTTATTGGCGTTGTATAAATTATTCATTACATCATTGTAATTCTCGTCTTCACACATGTGTTATTACAAATAATATTATAAAACCACCAACGGAACATATATGCACAATTGATGGTACAACAGTTGAACTTCGAAAATTCGACGAACAAATTGCTTATCGTGCTCTTCATACTCAAGAAACACCAGA